GTTACTTTTACTGCGATTGATGTAATGCCGACACCTTCAAACCCCATTGAAAACAATACTAAAGGACTATTACCTACAAAGGATAGTGTTCAGACTGATAATCAAGAGAACATCGCAGCTCCCAGTCTTCAGGAAGTATCCGATGTAGAGGCAACTCATACTAGAATCTTTGGTGGGTACTACGATTGGTAATCCTTCTGCTACAGCTCTACCACCTCATCTGACTGATTTTTTGGATGAGGAATGACAAGTTTACACTTTCAAGAGGAAGAAGAAGAATGAAAATTTACTGAAGCTCAAGAATCTAATGGATGATATTTTGGTTACTTCGGGTAATGGTGCGCACCTTATCAATTTGTTAGCTGGATCCCTTCCGAGAACTAGAGACAGAAACAGGATTAAATTAGGATGACCCTCACTTCTTCCGTGCCCTGGTGGTTTTGGGTTTTTTTATTTTTATATGTACCATTTTTGACTTTTTTGTGTGTTGTACCGTGTGGGTTGGGTGCCTATTTTTGGGTCCACTCATACAACATATTTGTATCTTTTCTCTTTAATATATTAGCCCTTGGGCTTTTTTAATATATATATTTTATGAAAAGGCCCAAGGGCTAATTTATTAAAAAACGAAAAAGATACAGAAATGTTGTATGAGAGAGCTTAAAAGAAATCTCAACTCACACAATACAGCACACACAAAACCCAAATAAAGCAAAGATACATAAAGATAAAAAACCAAGAAGCCACCAAAGGGCGCAAAAGTGCTAGGGACGTCCCACTTTAGTCCTCACTCTCCCTCTAGTTCTTGGAATTGAGCCTGCTAACAAATTAGTAAGGTGAGTGTCATTGCCCGAAATAACCAAAGTATCATCCATCAGATTCCTGAGCTCAAGTAGGTCCCCATTCTTCTTCCTCCTCGATGTGTAGGCCTGTCACTCCTCATCCGATGATAGAATCCGATGATTGACTCATTTGATCAATAGATTGTTCTAAAGTTGGTAGGATAGGTGTAGGCTATTGCACAACATGATCCCCTTGATCCTGAGTGACAGTTACAGTTTGTTTGACCTGATGAGACGGTAGTGAAACAGTAGAAGTATTGCAACCTGTAATAACGGTGATAGGTTCTAGGGCAAGTGGGGTCTAAAGAATCTCCTTCTTACCCATAATAGGAGGTTCCAGAGACGGTTGAATGGTTGTAATATTGTCAGCGAGAATAGTGACGTCTTCGGGGGCATTCTTTTGATGATCGATATTATCAAAAACTTGGAGTTGATCAGAAGGAGATGAAATCACTGTCTCTAGTAGAGCACTGTGCTTTTTTGGTCTGAGGTGTAGATGTAGATGGTGACATTGAGAACTTGAATGATCAGACATACGACAGTTTGAACGATACGAAGAAAAATGCTCAATCACTACATTTTGCCAATACCCATGATGTTGTGTGCCCAACCAAATTTCCTCAGAAACAGATGAAGTGATGTTTCTTTTAACAAATACTCTGACTTCTGATGGACGAGAAAAATTAAAAGTAGGAATGTCCGTTTTGAGTGGCTTACCATAAGCTGAGGCAGTAGCGTACAAAATGTTTTGAGTAAATAATGAAATTTTAGACCATAGAGGTGAATCCAAAGCGGAATGATCGGAGGTTCCATCTGAAGGTCAAAATCCACAGACCATTTGAGAATCTTAATTGCTCTGTTATCAATCCAGATTATTCTTCTAGCAAATAAACGCGTGTAATCCTCTTCATTATTAATTTGTATGAAAATGTGTCTTCCATCTAACAGTCCAATTTTAGAAAATGTGTCTTCCATCTAACAGTCCAATTTTCCACTCCCCAACCAGGTGCATAAGCTCAAATTCCTTACTAATCAGCTCAATTTTTGGATGACCATACAGAAATTTCCCAATTGAATTCAGTCGACAAGAGGAGGCAAGTTGAATACCTTCAGCTTATGTGAAAAAGATGGCAGATTTTCCATTCTTTCTTTCAGGTTTCTTGATTTCTTCCTCTCACTCAAACGAAGGAGGGAAATAACACGATGTAGGTGTACCTGAGGCGGTGTTGACACCCGTAAGAGAAGCAGCATACGATCTGTCCGAAGCCATCCCCAATAGATGGAGGTGTGGCGTTAAGAACAGTGAAGAAAGCAATGAATAACACAGTCAGAATCCAGAAAGTCCAGGGAGCAGGAGTGGAAATCCCGCAAATTCAGCGGACGTAGGAAGCAACACGCCCAAATCGCAGCGACGCAGAAGATGACGACGCCCCTGCGAAACAACGCAGAAGCAGATGACGCCCCTACGATCACGTCAAGTAGAGCGCATAAGCGGCGACAGCTCGAGCAGAGCGGCGACGACGAAGGAGACGTGAAGCAGAGAGCAAGCGACGCGACAAACAGAGCGACGCAGATCGCCGAATCCAAAGCGGCAGATGACGCGAGAAGCCGACGAGGAAGGTTAAGCAGAGACGAGAGAGATA